TAGCTTAGTTATGAGAAGATGCAGGAAAGTTATTTGCATAAATAACTCATTCCTACAACTGAATATCAACAAAGTTTTGCGAACATTTGTAATGGAAACGCAACTACTGACTGGAAACTTTACACTGGACCTCAAATAATGTAGATTCTGTGCTTCTCCTCTCTTCCTACCTGAGTTCCCACGGGTCCTTGAAATCCTGGAAAGTTTGTGTATTGAAAAAAATATTTCAAGGCCCTGGAAAGTTTGTGAAAACAGACAAAAATTACACTTGTCTTTGAAAGTCTCTAAATTCTCTGTTCACACGACTGATTTTCATCATCTTTTAAAAATAAATAAATGATAAAATTAAACTCAAAAATCGTACATTGGATAACAATGTACACAACAATGTGGACAACTCAGGATTACAGTAAACTGACATCATTGATTCTGACTCAACAACTTCTATGTTCAGTTTTTCATTGAATTTACATGATATTAAACCTGTTTATTGGTAAGATTCTGCGGTAGCAGTAGGTAATTGTCATTGCACGTGGTTCTTTAATTTGAGGAAATTGGTACTGGAAAGTCCTTGAAAGGTCCTTGAATTTGATGTTGACCAAGATGTGGGAACCCTGAGACTCTGGGACCTTGATTTCCAAAGGAAATTTAAAATGTGCTTTCATCAGAGAACATGTTTGGACCACTCAGCAGCAGTCCAGTCCTGTTTGTCTTAAATCAACAAGAGCTGAGGGTACAGATGAGTGTTTTACTTCTTGCTGGTTCTTGTTTACAGCTGCATTGGAGGGCTTGTGTTCAGCCTCTGTCATTTTCCATTATCCTGGAGGGACAGCAGGGAAGATGGTCGGACGTAAACCAAGTATTTCCCAGGCAGCAGATGCAGGCAAGCGCCACAGACCAGGTGAGTTTGTAGTTCTGTAAAACACTGAGCTTTTTGAGTGTCTGGTAACGTCTGCTAACAGCTCAGTTTTCCTTTGCTAATTTGCTTTGTTTGTCAGCAAATTCTAAAGTGTTTGTTGCCTGTTTTAATTAATATGCTACTAACTCAGTGGGTTATTCATGCTGGTTTGCAGATAATTTAAAAATGTGTAAAAATACAGCAAAACTAAGAAAATCAACATGATTTTTTTCAAACTGATGAATAGAAGTCAAATGTGTTGAATCATTGGTGGGTGTGGTGGGGGGGTACATATTTTACAGACACATARTTCAGTTCTTTACCACAATCAAGCATCTATATCTCTTTAAGAACTTCCTGTTGTTTAGGACACTCCCACTTCAGCACGTCTTCACAACAATGCTTTGGGAGTGGGATGTTCTGTGGGGCGGGAGCTCGACTGGGGACTGAGCTTCAGGGATGGCAGCTCTACATGGCTGCCAAAGCAGCCGGTTCAGATGTTGTCAGTCCATTAAATGGACGTTATTAGTGGTTATCAGTCCCATAGAAAGGCTTCAGACTGTCCCGATTGTAGGGCTGGGTATCGATTCAGATTTCCCAAATCGATTTGATTCACGATTCACAACGATTCAGGACGATTCACGATTCAGTTTGATTGATTTTTAAATTAGTTAAGGATATCACGCAGTAACACATTTACTTTGATATGTAAGACATTTTCAAAGGAACTAATTCTGCAAACAGTAGAAACTGATTCTAACTTGGTTTGTTGGTAAAATTATAAACATTAAGGACAAACTTGTAAATTGGAGTTTAATCTTGAAACAAAACTCAAGTTTCAAGGGTTTAAACTAAAAAGGAATTGCAAGAGAAAGTGTTGTTGATACATTAGTTTCTTAAGAAACTAAGAATAATTTTCTTGATCATTAAGAAGTGATGGAATAAGGTTACAGGAGAAGATGTGGGATAATATAAATATACTTCTGCCCATTCTTTTGAGTGTATGAAAATTGTATATTTGTAACGTTTTTAGTTAGCTTGTGTTCAGTAAAACTTATTAACAAGAAGAAAGAGAAAAAAATGTACTTCAGCTAAAACATTCCACCACTGTGAATTACATTAAGATGTTTCTAAAAGTTATAAATAATCTTGGTAACAAAACTAAACGATTTCGTTAGACTGTCATCTCTCACACATTCATACAGGAAGAGGAGAACAGTTTCAGTCAGATGTTTACAGACCGTAGTTTTGGTTCGAGCTGCTCGAAGCTTCGTTTCCTGCTACCACGTCCGAGCGCAAAACTTTGCAAACAAAAGTAGTCCTGGCCTCTGTTATCTTTAAGCTCTGCTGAGAATCATCTGTAATGTTAGTGATTCCTTTGTTTCTTTTGTTTTGCGTCTGGAGCTAACATTAGCACTGACCGTCAACTGGATGTAAACCTAAGGCCAGCCAGGAGTGACACACAACAGCTTCATCGCACTCAACACCCGTGGAGAAAAATCGATCTCATGGCTTATGAATCGATTTTCCCAAATTTGAACGAGAATCAATCCAGATCGATTAAATCGATTTTTTTTTAACCAGCCCTATCCGACTGTAACATCTAGCAGGTTCTCTGTCCCATAGAATGGCTTCAGACTGTCCCAACAGTGCCTCCTAGTGGGTTACCAGTGCCATGTATGTTGGAATGTAACAATGCTACCACCAGAGTCTACTTTATTGTAGCCCATTTCATTTTCTCTAAAATTAACCTTAGTGACTTTATGCCTCATACTAACCAGATGACAGTCTGAAGCCATTGTATGGGACTGATAACGACTAATAACATCCATTTAATGGATGATAACATCCGAAGAGGGTGACCAAAGGAGATTCAAGGATTTGTCACACATGCATGACTGAGTCAGAGCAACACTCTGGGTCTGTTTTTGATGAGGGAATGACATTATAACATCATTTAGTGTATAGAAAAAGTCTACACACACCTGTTAAATTCCAGGTTTTGTGCTTCAACAGTTATCATATTTTCTGGTCTATAAGTCAC